ATGAGTATATATGTGGGGCACGAGACCCTCATGTAATAAGTATCCACTCAAACAAAACAATAGGCTCTTGTTTTGTATGGATAAACAAGAAAAATCCCTTGTTTTGTTTTAGCTGACCCAAACAATCAAAAACAAACTAAATAATTGTTTTGTCTGTGCAATGCCCTGCCCCCCTGTGTCCCGTGTGCCGGACGCCGACGACGTCGCGGCTACATACATGTCTATCGGCACCCTGGGTCTGCGATTATTGAAAAGTCTACTAGAGCCGTTTCGGCTTATTGCAAGGATTACTTAGCGAAGGAGACTGCATCCAAAAGATATAGATTGATAGGGGATAGGTAAAGCAGCTTTTGGAGAATTACATGCACATATATAATCGTGGCTGCTGCACCCACGACGCCGACGACATGCTCGTTTTCTTTTCTCACCTCCCACCTCGACTAACCTTTCCATTTTCTCCATTTCAGCTCTCCACACGTTTCATCTTAGAGATGCTTTGCAATCGCTAGTACTGCAGAGAATGCCGCACATGAGTGCATGTATGATTTCACAGAGGCTCAGAGATGTAGCAGCTAAACGAAAGAACGTCGGTTAGATTCCAACGCCTCGATTAGGTATCTATGACAATGTGGCATTAATAGTGATGACACCGAAGAATGGCGAAATAGTCGCCTCAACTGAACTCCTGACCGAGTATTAGCAGCAGTATCAAAGGTCGAGTGAGTGTTTACCTATTATACCTACCTATACTCGAACACTTCTAATAATCATTCTGGAGCAACTTTTCCATATATATTTGAGTGTACTTGGTCATTATCGGGTTCTTCTCTCGTGTCCCCTATTCGCTTCGTCACACACACCTAGATAACAAGGCACCTACTTAAGCCCTTCTTCTCAGAGCCCAGATTACAACGACCACGTATCGTTGACGTTATTTGTTTCCTTTTTTTAAGAAGTGCTTGCAGGACGGACAGCCGTCTCGTCAAATAGGAGTTTTTCGTAGACATACTCTTCACCCCAAGATCTCCGAGAATGTCACTCGCTAAAATATAACTGGCCTTCTTTCTGTCGGCTGCAGGTTCTTATGTTTACTTGCATTCACAAAACGCCCCGAAGGGCTTGACGGAGTTTTCTTTTCAAGCTGGTGGCGGCGGGATGTTTGGAGACTTCGTCTATTCCTGCAACACTCGGAATAAAATGACGCTACCTATCTACAAGACCTATTACTTCTCACTATAGTGATGGATCAACTGGCTTAATTATATTTATGTTCGCTTCTTCCTCCTCCATGCTCACCTCCTCATCAAACTCAAGACGAGATGATGAAGTTATGAGTGAATACGATCGCTTATACACAATATGACTTCTCCAACACCTTCTTCGGCCATCGAGGACGTGAAGCCATCCATTGAAAATGTCACGTAAGTATGCACTGTTAACGCTTAGGCAAATTTGAACAAGAAATCCATAACATAACGTCTTTCTAGGTTCGTGATCGTGCCAGGTTTACGAAGTAAGAATGTTTCAGAGTCATCATCTAGGCTCATCTTCTGGGAATCAGGAGGGGCGCTCAGACTACGATTTCCGGAACTTCGTTACATCCAATTCAACCCGGAATTCGATGGCGAAATCCTGCAAAACTTGACACCAGAATGGTTCAAACACAATGCCGAAAATCTAATAAAGCATATTTCCAATGAAAGACGATCTGTAAGTGTTAGGAATGTGATTATAAGACATCCGATGATCAAGGTTTACCTACTAACGTAATTGGTTAGGAGAGCAATCAGTTGGTCTTCGTGTGCGAGGACCTAGGCGGAATCATAGTGAAGAAGGTTCGTCATCTATGTAAACTCCTCACGATAGAGCTGACAAACGAGAAAGGCGCTTACCCTTGAAGGCAGCCATGCTGATTTGATTGGGAAGACATGCGCGTGTGTAAGTGCTCTAGATCCCCTTTCCCCTTCAGCTCATAGCAATAAACCCAGAAAATTAATCAAGCCGAAGATATTTTTCGGGGTTCCTCACCAAGCTCCTGCACTCAATTCATGGACCGAAGCGTTGGCGGGAATTATGTCAGTCTGGGGAGGTCCAAATCAAAAGCAGTGGATTCCTACGCCCCAATTTCTGGCATTTCTGGGAAATACATCGTTTCAGTTCAATCAAGTTGCCCTTTGGTTGAGTGTCATCACCGTCTATCAGCTTCCCGAGAACGGTGATGCCCCGGCACCAGTACGTGCATCAATCCACCCAACCTATTACAAGGAACTGACCTAATGGGCAAAGTCGATCAAGCAAGGATGTGCCACACTTGATTTATCGCACGAGGTTCGAATAGGGCGTGAAATCTGCTTAGAAAACCTAGTGCGATTTACTGGCGTCAACGATAAGGATGTGGTCAACATCGTTGATGCCTTGACTAAAGCAGTGGATGGTAAGCAAAAAAAACCCAAGAACCAATCATATGTTGGTAAATGAACTGAACCACGGTACCTACAGTATCACCTGAATGCCGCCAGTACATAAAGAATCTATCTCGTCTGAGTCCTTTCATCCGGCACCCCCAGCACGATGGTCTGGATTGGATCATGGACATGATTCCAACTTTTGACGGCAAAAGTACCTCGGCCACTGTTCTTCATGGGGATCGTGGAATTGGCAAAAGCGTCCTGTCCTATCACCTCTACAAATCCCTCCTCCAAAGTCGTCAGTCATCCGATATCGTTGTGTACTTTTCTTTCGATGTCCTAGATCGTCGTCGACGGTCGATCATGTCAATGCTAAGCAAGATAATCCATCAAATACTTGCGGTAGATCCCAAGTCATTCTCAAGCACTATTCAGTCGCCGCAGGCGAACGATTCAGGATTGGAGGAACGCAACATGTGGGCATTGCTCCGTTCGATTGTCCAGAAGTCGAAAAGTGAGAATATTACACTCATCGTCGATTCCGTACAGGAAAGCGATGCAAGTGACTTGGAAGCAGTTTGGGGGAACCTATCCAAACTAAAAGATGCCCGTAAAACGGGATTCCGGTTACTATGCACAACAGACATCGAGCCGTCAGCCGCCACACAGGAAAAAATACCTAGTGTCTCTATCAAAAACCAACGCCAATTCGAAAGTAGTTGGAAGGAATTTGTTGACCGTCGAACCAACGAGATCCTCTCAAAAAGCCCTATTAACTTGGAAGACTTTAAGGGCAAACTCTCGGAACGTCTCTTACAGCCGTACCAGTTCCTACGTCCAACCCTTATTGCCCATCACATGCGCCTTACCGATTCCCCATCAACTCCGAGCTGCATCAGAAATGATCTGGATAATATATCAAAGAGCGATTTGGAAGATACAATATCAGCTATAGTACAAAAATGTTCGTCTTGGATGAAACCCACAATTCGTTGGTTGTTGTTTGCCCGCCGGCCCCTCAGATCGTTGGAATTAGCTGTTGCCATTGCTCTTGAAAAATCATGTGCATCGTCACAGCAGCCGATAGTCGATGAAGATTTGATTCCCCAAGATATTGCAGGAGACCTGAAGCGGCAACTGGGACCACTCATTGATGTTGAAGATGGAGAGATCCGTATCTCTCATCCGTACACTAGACCTATTCTTGAAAAACGGGTTTATCCAGAAAAACAGGGCTCAAAATCGGACCACATAGCCTTGACAGGACTTTGCTTGAAGTATCTGCGTCGATGCCTCGAGTATAAGAGCAAGAAAGGCACAACTCCCGTGGACGATATCAACTTCGAATTCTTCGAATATGTAGTCGAGAACTGGCATGTTCACTACAGGGACCCAGTCAATGATGGTGATAAGGAACTCAAGCTCCTTGTCGATTCGCTCCTCAATACTGGAGCGTACCTCTCACTGCTTTGCCCACTGGACTTCACAGTTCCTTCGAGCAACGATGGTGCTCTGTATCTTTCAGTCCGGCTTGGCCTCCTTGATATTGTTGAAGAAAAGCTTACAGGTTCTGATGCCAACAAGTCCGTCCTCTTTCGCATCGCCTGCCAATACCATCACGTGGAAATTGTGAAATGCTTCATTGAAGGTATGGACGACAACGCATGTATCAAAGAGCTACATCAAGCAATGAATACGGCTGACTCGAGCCTTTGCAACGTTCTGCTTGATAAATTATTAAAAGAACTACAACCCAACGACGATAAACTCGAACCCACTTTTATTGCTGCGTGCAAAATAGGTCATGAAGCCATTGCCAATAGACTCGTCAAATCCGGCATAGTTATCAAGAATATTTCTACGCTATTACTCAATGAGGTATTCGACCGGGGCCATGTACGCATCGTTGAGCTGTTGCTCAAAGAAAGGGTTGTTACAGACGCGCCCGACGCCTATATTCAGAACCTATTAGAACAAAGCAAGCAACGAGGATACGGGAGTATCGTTGAGTTGCTTAGTTCCATTGTCGAAGATAGAAGGAGATGGGGGCGCGTGATAACCCATTTGGAAGAAACTAAGACCTTGATGTTGAACAGATTTGAAGAGGTACAGAAAATAGCAAAAGGAGAATTGCGGTCCGTAGATCAAGATAACTAAGAGAGAACGGGTAGTTGTGGTTGTATGGGACAGTTATCCTAATACCTGAAGCGTACCAGCCAATGAGGCTATCGCGAGATTTCCCTAGGGGCGTAAGGCGCGGTGAGTCCTGAGTTGATTCTATCTCGTATCTAGCAAACCTAACAATATACCTTTGATGTCGTGTTCGACCTGCTCTTGTGGCCCAAGGTAGTATCTTAAAATACGTGACACAATAGCTGCCATGCCGCGGTCGACGGTAATGGACTTCACAAACAGCAATCACATAGCAATTTCAATAGGTACCTTTGCTTTGCTTTCAATTCAAATCACCATCCATAAAACTTCATAACAAGTCTTAGACTCGCTAATCGATATATCGTATTCTAGCTAGGCAATTAATTACCTACCTACAACAAACGCTGAATAAATCTCTGGGTACGCAGACGTAAACTACCTACCTACCTACCGCATCCAGCAGCAGCAGCATCAATAGGTATCTTACTCTTCCTCAGGGTACGAAAACGTACGCGGGCTCACGTAATAATCATCACCCTCACCCAAAAAAGCCCAGCCATGCTCCCTACGAATCTGCGCCTCCTCCTCGGCGGTAAAGTCATTCTCGATCCCAAAATACTCGCGCATCTGCTCCGTCGTCATGCCCCTGATCTTCTCGGCGACGATCTTGGCCGCGCACTTCAGCAGCAGCGGGATGTCGAGGAAGTTGGCGGCGGTCAGGAGCTCGAAGAGCTGCGCCTGGCTGAGCGGCGCCAGCAGCGCGGCCTCGTAGGCGGGGACTTCGAAGGGAGGGGGGGAGACTTGGATCAGCGGGGGTGCGACGTTGGGCGTGGGCTCGAATGATGCTTCTGAGTCAAAGCCCCAATCGAACTCGGAATCGGTGTCTAAATAAGAATCTGTCTCGGCATCGTAGCTGTCCTCATCGCTGTCGTCGCTATCTTCGCTGTCGGAGCTTGCGGCCTTGGATGCGGCCTGCTTCTCGTCCTCTTCTTGTTTCTTCTTCAGCGCTAGCTCCTGTTCTTCCTTCTCTCGCATCTCTCGCTCTTTCACCTCCTGCTCTTCCTTCTCCTCGAGAACACGGTGTTCGCACCACTCGACGATCATCTTTAGGCTTTCACCGGAGGCCGCGGCGATGGGGACGGGGACGTTGGTCTCCTCCTCGGGGAGATCCTCCATCATGTCCTTGAGAATCGCGGACTGCTTGGCAGCCTCGTGGGTGATGATGACCTGAGTGCCGTCATGGGCGGCGAGCGTGAGAACGTTTAAGATACCCATTTTGGAAGAATACGATGTGTAAGAGTTAACTTTTTCTAACAACCAGTTTAACATCAAGTAGAACTTAGTAAGTTATCCTTGGTTATGAAAAAATGTGGTGTGTGTATCAAAAGCAATAAATTCGAGAAGACATAAAGTCTTATGTATTCAAATATTTTACAGTCATCGTAAGAAGAAAAGGGATATGATTTCTGAACAATGTCCTTATAACAAACAATTTCCTTCACTTAATGTAGTTTCCATTGTAATAAGAGTTATTACAAGAGCATTGTTCTTGGCCAAGACTAGTGACCTAAGCTTTGTGATTTCAGATGAATCTATCAAAAAAGGACTCGGGGTTCGTTACAGGTCTTGTTGTTACATTAAACAAAGCATCATGTGTAATATGCAACTCCCGTGGAATATATAGTAATGATATTGAATAAAAAAGCTTCTGGCTAAGTAAATATGACTACTATGTTGAATAGGTAGTCTATCAATTGTAACATTACGTAAAATCTCCCGTTCCAACTAGGATAAATGACCACATCCGAGCTCTTAGAACCGTAAGTGTCATCAAAATCTGTTTCAATCTTTAGGAATTAAAAATCAACGACCCCCAGCAACAATAACCATGACGGCAGTTTCAAAGACACGGCAAAGCGACCATGAGTTATCCTGTTTAGTATGATGGCCTCTTAGATAGCCTTTCGTGCGAGCCATCTTCGTAAACTCTCTCGGCTGGTGTCTAGTGCTGGGTTAAAAGAATAAACAAGGTAAAATATAAGCACAAAGGAGACGAAGAGTAACCAGTATTTTTTTAGTGGTTACCCGGACCAGCTTGGTTCTTAGACATACAGGACATACCAGTCTTGTATTCAGGGGCAATGCAAATGGAGAGACAAGATGAAGGTGACTTACAGTGTCCACCTCATGGGTACCGTTGAAGATACAATCTCTACGAACACACTTCCCACCATACCTACAATGATGGCCCCAAAAGCAGTCGACATCCCGACAAGCACCCCCCCTTGCACATAGCTTGCTCCTGGCCTTTCTCCTCAGCACGATCTGCTCGCCGAGGCTTAGACGCTCCCCGTGGTAGTAAGGGCATTGGGTTATATCGCATGTAGCGTTTAAATGCCATCGGTTGCAAGGCCCCCTTTTCTTCATGATCATCTCTTCTCTTGCGGTACGCATTTGAAGGCGGTACTCGGCGTCAGAGTCACAGAACGGGATCTCTTCGTCGATACGCTGACCCGAGAAATTGATTACGCAGTATTTTGGTGGAGGTGTGGTTGATCTTGCTGAATTATCTTGGGTACTTGTAAATTTCCTAGATTCTTTAATAGTCGGAGGCGGAGTGTCCCAAGTAGAGGGGATTCTGGATAGAGTTATAGGAGTAGTGTTAGAGGCAATGCTGGAAGTAATGCCAGAAGCCATGCTAGAAGAAATGCCAGAGGTAATGCCGGAAGGGTTCATTGGCGTTTTTGGTCTTGTTGGCGACAACATAACAGGAGGCGTAGACGGCGGTCCATCTGGAAGGGGTTCAGACCGAAACACATCGCCGAATCTAACTCTGCGAAGCCGAAGCTCCTGGAAGTCGCGCGGTGCAGGGGTAGTTTCGAGCAGTGAAAGTTTAGTAGAGATTGAGGTCTCGAGCTGATAGGGTCTCAGTTCCACTATGTAGCCTCTGTCGTGGCAAGGTCCGAAGATAATATGCTTGCATTGTAAGTTATGGACCATGAGGCGTAACGTCTCCCGGACTTTAAAATCGGCCTGCTCCTTTCCCCAGCCAACATCGATAATTGAAAATAGTCCTTGGGCGCGGCTGAAGCCGCGAGTGAAAGCGGGGAGGTCATTTAAAGTCCTTACGAACCCAATCTTTTCAAGCTTCCTAGAAAGACCCTCAAGATTGAGGGTAATCTGGACAATGATATTCCAAAGGTCCACATTAACATTGGGATAAATATCTTTAAGATGTTGTTTAATATCGAGGCGTAACTGTTGGGCAGCTATGGCGCCGCCTTCAGCTCCTTTTATAATCCAGTCTTCGCGAAAACAGGCACCATCGCCGTCGATGATTGCAAAAACAAATGAATTAACTTCCTATCCAACGTGAGCATTGGTTGGTCACGTGATATCTTGGAATCTACATTAGAAAATATTGGAAAAGTTACCGTTCTATGTTGTATATCAGTAAGTCTTTTAATTGCATCATTAGCTTGTTGCTGGTAAAGACTGCGTGTCTGCGCCTCGTTTTCATGTTCTCTGCATTTGGATTGGAAGCGCTGTTCAAGGTCCTGATAATTATTGATTAATTCTTTTAACATATCCTCTCTCTCCTTGTCGAGTTGATGGAAACTCTCGAGGCGGGCTAAATAGTTGGTGCCATCGTTCGATCCACTTCCACTCATTTTAAAAATAGGTTAAAGTGATTAAATTGCTAGGATAGTCGGTTTTTAAAAATATGTCGGTAGATCTTCTAATTCAGAATATATGATATAAATATATTTATATATGTTTAAATTCAAACTGGTTGATATAATATATATTTTTCAATATCGTATCGGTTTTAGTTGTGATGGGAAACAAGTTAGAAACTGGATTCCCCTCAGTCAATGTGGAGTTTTGAATTATAATTGCTTAGTAAGTTAGACTTAGTCATCTGACAGCAGAAGCGCGGAATTCCAAGTAAAGCCGACAGACCTATAGAGTGGATACCCATAAACCCTGAGACCCTGGTCGGTCTTCAGTATCGTACTCGCTAAAAAGCAATTGCTGGTGGCTTGCTGCTCTTCTATAGAACTTCGAGTCCGGAAATTTTATACTTTTCCCTCTAGCACTTACTTACCCAGAAGAATCAATGAATCGTTTTCGTACTCGTCTTGGGCATTGCACGTGAAAATTTCCCTGTTGTGCGCTCTAGAAACCGGGAAGGGCACTGGGATTAATTAGGCGTATGCAGTGACCGTAGATCCGGGCACCATGGATGCTAGATATATCGCTAAACCTCGCTGAATTCTAGAACTTTGTGCGCCCCAAGGGGAAACTCCCATTCGTGGGGTTATAAATGCCCAGGCACGCCGTTAAGGGGTCTTAGCACTCCTCATGTAGAGATAAGCTCCCCTACTAGTTATAAAGTTGTGTAGCTATGAGCAAACTCGGCATACTACCTAGGACCCCTAGAATTGCGATAGCCTCCCGCCGGGCAAATAATTGCGTGGCACACTACAAGAAAGGGGCGCTAGAAGGGGTGTTTAGCTTACCCGCTGTGAGGCGCGCTACTGTAAGACTTTCGACCGCGTGATAGAAGCTTATGCGGGGACAAGAGTTGACGATGTGCTGTGCGACGCGAATAATTGGTGCGGTAAACAACACCGACGATAGAAACCTCCGTCTTCATTTCCACACAACCCCGTTTTAGTCGGACGTATACCGACCGAACGTCACGTTATTGTATTGTCATCTCCAATTCTACACACCCCACATCCCCTCAACCCAGACAATAGCTTTCTTTTTGCTTTTCCGTTGCACGGCTGAGGTCCCTATGGGTAACCCTGATTTAGAAATTATCCCGATCTAGACAGAGCTACAGGTCGGTGGCCGTATTAGATCACGATCTACTTTTGGTGTAGCGACTTGGTTGAACAAGGGGTCTCCGTTCTCCGGATGAAGGTCGCCGTCCGACATCGTCTTCGGTAAGCCACGCTTGGTGGAAAAAAAGTATGGGATTCGATAAAAAAATATGGGGGGAAACAAAGGCGAAGCTGCCAGGAAATAAAAACAATTAGTAGCCCCCCTCTTTTAAGGTTGCCCCCCCATTCTAGGAGCTTAAAACTCTCCTCGAACTTCGTAGCTGGAAGAGGACCTTCATTCATATCCCTTTTCCTATAATTTCATCTATTTACTATCAGAATGAGCTCTACCGAAACGATCGTAAAGCCTACAAAGGCGAACATCGGAGTCTTCACGAACCCCGCTCACAAGCTATGGATTGAAGAAACCGGACCGACGGTAGAGGACGTACAGAAGGGAGAAAGCCTGAAACCCGGCGAAGTCACTGTTGCTATCAAGAGCACCGGAATATGTGGGTGAGTAACCTCTGATAGGCCTTTAATAAATGGGGAGACCAACTCGCTAACTTTCCATGTAGCTCTGACGTTCACTTCTGGCATGCAGGCTGCATCGGACCTATGATCGTAGAGGGAGATCACATCTTAGGACATGAGTCGGCAGGGCAAGTCATCGCCGTACACCCGTCCGTGACACACCTGAAGGTTGGAGACCGAGTCGCGATAGAGCCAAACATCATCTGCAACGCATGCGAGCCCTGCCTGACTGGTCGATACAATGGCTGCGAGAAGGTCGAGTTCCTATCAACCCCACCCGTCCCAGGTCTGTTGAGGAGATACGTGAATCATCTGGCTATCTGGTGCCACAAGATTGGAGACATGTCATACGAGAACGGAGCTCTATTAGAGCCCCTGAGTGTTGCTCTGGCGGGCATTCAAAGATGCGGGGTCAAGCTTGGTGATCCGGTACTTGTCTGTGGTGCTGGGCCGATTGGATTGATCACATTACTTTGCTGCAAGGCCGCCGGTGCTTGTCCCTTGGTAGTTACCGACATCGACGAAGGAAGACTCAAATTCGCCAAGGAGCTCGTCCCGTCAGTCATAACACACAAGGTAGAGCGGCTGAGCGCTGAAGAGTCAGCGAAGAAGATAGTGGAATCCTTCGGCGGCATCGAACCAGCGATTGCTTTGGAGTGTACCGGGGTTGAGAGCAGCGTGGCGGCTGCTGTCTGGGCTCTCAAGTTCGGAGGCAAGGTATTCGTGATCGGCGTTGGAAAGAACGAGATCAACTTCCCATTCATGCGAGCCAGTACGCGAGAAATTGACGTACAATTCCAATACCGATACAGCAACACATGGCCTCGAGCTATTCGATTAGTCGAGAATGGCGTGGTAGACCTTACGAAGCTTGTCACTCATCGATTCAAGCTTGAAGATGCCCTCGAAGCCTTCAACACGGCAGCGGATCCTAAGACTGGAGCCATTAAAGTTCAGATTAAGGGCGAAGACTAAATCAAGAAACACATGTTGAATTGTAATTAACAAAGAAGGCCATAATGAGGCTAAGGATATATTAGCATTAAAGGCAAGACGGGTTTAGAGTAGGTATATAGTGCTCTTGGAGCATATTCTCTGAGTCTAGTAATAGAAACCAAAGCATAACAAAGGCCGTTCAACTCCAAGTCAATGAAGGGTGCAAGGTACATAAAAATGATGAAAATGATGAAAGTGAACTGGAAGCATTGGAATAGAATGTTAATAGGTAACTCAGGAACCGTTAACCTTTATAATTATTGTGGGGATGCACACATTTATCTGGGCTCCGATTGGTCAATCGTTCCAAAGTTAGTTTTCAGGGCAGTCAGGGTTGAACCTTGAGGTCCAAGCTCGGATCGGGTTTTTCCGCCGTCGACATTTTTGAACAGCCGATAACTTTTGAGTGTTTTTTCCTTAGCCGTGAGAAGAAAATAGTTGATAGCGCACCTTCAAATTCGACGACGACCCTCGCGACTTTTTTCTCCCTCTCCTCCGTTCATTTTTCTCCCGTCAATCGACGTTCCCGCTGTATTTTTTTCTGCTTCTTTTTTTATTTTCCTTCCCTCCTCCGCCAAATACCCCCAGGTCACAATGTCGTCCGGTCTCGCACGTCCAATGCTTCGGCAATCGGGAGCTTGGAGTCGCATGGCGGCCCGAAGGTTCGAATCGACCTCGACACAGAAGGCGACCGAGACAGCAAAGGAGTCGGCGGCAAAAGCTTCTAAGCTCGCTTCCGAGTACGCGTCAAAGGCACAGCAGGGTCTTTCGAGGGTCGCTTCATCGGCTGGACCGGCTATCGCAGCCGCGACCAAGGGACTGTCAAAGTCGTTGGGTAGCGTTGGTGGACGTACGGGAAAATTGGTTACCCTCGTCGAGAGTACGTGAATACACATATTCGATCCGATTACATCATGGATTGGATTACCTAGGCGAGGTACATGGGCTTTTATGTTAGGGCAACGGTTGATATTTTTGATTTTGCAGAGCAAACCCCCACAGTCGTCTACTACTCGAAGGTCGTATCAGAGCTCGCCAAGATCATCTTCCAAGGCCAGAAGATGTCACCGCCGTGAGTTACGACCAACGACATATCTACGAAATACAGGATATGGTTCTAATAGGATATGCGCAGATCTCTCGTTACGGTCCAGAGCTACTGGCAGAACGTGTTGAAGTCCGTGCAAAACCCGAGCGCCCTACTCGAGACGGCCAACAAGTTCGCACAGTCGCCCGCAGCCCTCATGCAGCAAGCGAGAAACATCAGCAAAACCCAGCTCGCGGTCGGTGGTGTGCTGTTCGCCGAATGCCTCGGATTCTTTACTGTCGGCGAGATGATCGGCCGCTTCAAGCTTGTCGGGTACCACGGTGACACTCACGCCGCCCACCACTAAGGGTAGCTAGTAACAGCAACTACGGCAGCCACGGCAGCTCTCGAGGGAAGGAAAATTTTAAAAGATACCTCTTGTATTACGCATGAACGGGGGAACGTTATAGACAGGCGGAATTGATTCAACGTGTTCTTGCATTCGAGGGTAAAGCATAGTGGGTAATACGATGGGACGAAAAGGTTCCGAAGTTCGGAACTCTCTTAAACCTAGACGACCCGATGATGACGTGCCAATATCCCGCTAGAGGGGAGATGGGGGTATTTCTTGGCTGTCTCTATTATTGATCGGCGGCGGCAAGCGTGGAAAAATGTGAAGGGGAGATCGCCGGAGTGTGTGTTTTCCTCACCGTGTATTATTCACCCCCCTCGAAAAGGGTATGCCCAACCCTCGCAAGCCCCTTTTTGAGTACTCCAATGCCGTCGACCATCATTCCTTTTCCCTTTGTCCATGTGTCATCCTGTGTACTATAACTACGAACTTGCATCGAGAGGGGTTTCAGCAGCAGTCGACGAATAAAGTAATTGCCCACCATCATCACTTTGCTGTTGTGTTGTGCGTGTTGGTTTCTTTCCTTTTGCTTATCTCGGTGACATTTTCTTCGTCGAAATTGCCTCGGGGGAGGCAGAGGGATGGCGTTGTTTGTTATGACATGACGTCTGGAAGGGTGTTGGTTCTACGCTTTTATTTATTTGCACTTTTGTCCTTTTTTTTGCCGCAACGTCATGTCACGCATGAGCTACCGCCTACCTACCTAGGTCGGCACAAGTGCAGGCGCAAGATATGACCCGATCGAGTTTCCATGTATCGTATCGGGAACAAGTGGCGTGCGTTCGCTTTTTGACGTGCGTTATGCGTTGTGCGAGCGAGATATCCTACTCGAACCAACAGGGTGGTGGGAAGGGACCCGGTTTTGGTTGGTCGGACGGTCTGGCCCCAAGCAGCTCAGGTGACTGTTTACGGGAAGTGGCTAAGGGGCACAGCAGGCTATTGGAGTGGGAGGAGAGGAGGGGCGGGAGGTGCCGTAGGGAGGTGTCATTATGTAGATCGAGCCTCAGATTTCCCTCCGGCGGGCTCCTCTTGTGACGGCGGAGTGATATCCGCGGGCGAGGGAGACTGGGCTTCCCCGGGTTATAGCTATACTACCTAGCTATAACTGCTGGCCGCGGCCGCTCGTGGCATTTTACGATGGATATTGGGCTCGGCAGATTTCGATACATACATATACATATACTTTGCGTCATATGCGTGTAGCGTATGCGAGTATATTATAGTTCTGATGTGATATATATGCCGCTTACTCGTTAGTAGGATCTAGCCGGCCAGGAAGTTGGGCGTACGGAAAATCGGGCGGCACTGTTACTCACTCGTTCTTAGATTAATCGAATTCGAATCGGGGAGGTCCCGGAGGCCATTTTCGGTGTTGTTAGTCGAAATACGATATTGCCGAGCACCCATCGTGTAATACCTAACAGGAGAAAAGGGTGGTGGTCGATGGTAGCCTCTTCGTCGCCGCTCTGCCGGGAGTTCGATTATCGTGTAACAACGTCATGGACAACGATAGCGCCTAGAGCCTCCTTGTGATTGTCGAGTTGACACGTAGGTATCGCGTTGGGAATCGTAACAAGTATTGCCGGCTCGAGAAGAGTCAAAAAGGAAAGGGGGTTGGAGCCGGCGGCCGTCCCGCCTCCTTTTACCCCGTTCGCTCGCCCTACTTCGTTCCACACGCCTAAACATCGTGAGAGGCGGCATCATCGAATGCGACCCGGCACCAACTGCATAAGGGCCAACGCGACACGTTTCTAGTTAGGAAAACGGAGGTTTGGGGGCAGGAAAGCAATTATATGATTTCATGTGATGTGCGGTGATATAGAAGGAACCAACTGCATGAGAGGGAAGATCTGCTGACCTCCTTTAGGAATGGAACGTGGTAGCAGTAAGGAAGTAGGAAGCATTTAATACGCTACTGCATATAATACATATCTATGCACGAGTTCAGGTAGCAGCGCGAAGCGGTCGTAGCACAAAGCATGGACGGTCTTCATGGCGGCCGCTACATATAGCAGATGTAGGTAATAACTGGCTTACTGCCCATACCACCAGCCAGTTACGTATCCGCAAAGCCTCCCGAGACTCCACTGTCAAGAATTATTATCGGATAGCACGAAGAGCTAGACACATCGGGCCGGTCGAACGATAGGGAGAAGCGATTCGCCCGCCGCTCGACGTAGCGTGCGTGATTCCTACGTAGATTGGGTAGCAGTCGTCTCTACCCGTCCGCTCGAGAGCGCCATCACTGTCACCACGAGCTAGTCGCTAAGGGGCTGGTAAATTATGATCGAGAGGAACGGGCGCCATAAAATGGCCCTATCTCCCCCCTTTATATAAGAAAAAGCCAGCCAGCCAGGGGAACCCACCAAAGGAATCCTTGGAAGGGACGAGACAAGTCAGAGCGGATCGGATCGGTCCTCCCGTCGACGACTTTCGGGTACCTCGAGAAAGTTGTCGTCGAAGAATAGCCGGGCCGCTCAGACGTGCGTCATTCGCATGTGCATGGACGTGTAATAAAGCGTGGCGCATATATATATACCCGGGCGACTGGTTTTAAAGCGACGAGCCTAGCTCTGGTTGGAGAAGGTAACGTTGAAGATTAGGCGCGTTGAGTTGCATTAGAAGCTGAAGAACATTTCTAGAGTAAAATTGCAGGAACACTGATAGAATGACCATACTCCAAAATAAGTCCCGTACATATTCGTTAGATATATAAATCGGGTATATCTTTTTAATAATTAGTAACCTATCTTCCCACCTAGGTAGGTTGATGTACTCGGTGGTTGGACTGAGGTATACGATGTTGGCCTCAATTACCAATTAATCGACTTATATTTATTGAAACATGTACCTAATATGGAATTGTTAGCTATAACAAACGCAATAAAGCTCTAAGACAAACACGTTGGTTGGACGAGGCTCGCTGCTCACCAATTTGATGTGGCCAACTAGCCAACGCCCGAGCACACAATATGTACTAATGCACGAGACGTCTGAGGCCAGCTCAGTGACGGTCGGAGTATCGATAAAAGTAGTAATGCTGTTATTTACAATAGAAGTAAAATGTATTTACTGCAACGGGGTTGCGACAACAGACAACAAATAACACAGGCCTCGAGACCAGGCCGTCAGGGAGGCCGCCCTGCGGGTCAACTTTTTCCAAAACCGCACACCCAAAGCCAAAGCCAGACAACACGACACCGAAATAACACCCGCCGAAATGTATAATGCACACAATCAAGGGAAAGTAATGCAATCCATAACCCGGAGCGCCGTTTCGTCTAAGGCGGAGGAAAGCAGTGCAACTGTTCACTGCCCAATGCACCCTTTATGCTTGGTGCCAAGCCAGTACCGCCAATGAATACATCTCCCCATCTCAAGGTTCAACTTCTCCTGCGCCAAACAGAAAACGACCGACCAATACACCTTGATAGAAATCATTTCCCGGGCGGCGCATAACATGATCATGATCGGAAATCGGAATCGCTGCAAGTCGAGATGAAAGGCATTGACTCAACAACGTTGAGAAGGCCCAAGTGTAGGTTAGTCTATGCCATTCGTTGTCGGGAATAGGCGAAATGCATCGTGAAAAAAAAAGTAGTGTACATCCAATTACGTCCCACACTAATCTGCGACGTGCGCGCGCAGACGTATTACCTCCAGATCAGCCTAGCTAGCCAATGCCGGAGAAAAAAAAAGGTGTGCTCAGCCCCCTGAGAATGGCACCCAGAACTCGCTCCTGATGCAGGAGTATGTCGAATAGGCAGTGGTGGTCAAAAGAGAACGGCCTTGGAATGTTGAGGAAACGACCAACGAGGCAGATCGTACAATATGGGCGACCTGCAGGGACAATGTACCATTTAATACAAGCCTGATTTCATACATGAGAATCAAGATAGTTGGTCAATGGTGCATTTCAACCTTGCGGAAGTTGTCGTTTGAGATTTGGGGGCTGTAAGAAGCTCGGGTAACGTCCCTAAAGCCGCATGTACTTAATTGTACATCAGAGCGAGCTCGTTAGTAGCTTCTTGATCCACTTGAAAAAGGCGGGAGAGCCTGCATAGAGGAAGTGATAGGTCTTTTCTGCAAGCGCCATAGACGTCCAAGGTGGGCTGTAGCCTCGGAGATCATATAACGGGAGCTTGGTTCTGGTGGCGTGTAGGTAGATACCGGTCCAATGGTTGCGTTGCAGGGGACCGAAGAATTGCTCACGCTCGTTGGCCGGGGATAGATGGCCTTCGTGCTGTCCAAATGTACCTGCTCCCTGTATGAGTTTTTGTCAACACGGGTAGCGGCAGGAAGACTTACATGGTGCAGTAAGATCTCATTCCACGGGAGCACATTTCCTTCCGCACTTTACCTACTAGATTCGAAACTTGTTCCGGATCGTAGCCGTTCATTCTGGTTAAAGGAGCTATTGATAGGGCGTGTAGTCCTTGTGTAATACCGAGGTTAAACCATTTGCCCATCTCCCGTTCATGCTCATCTGGGGGCCAAGAATTGAACGGAACCCGCTTGCTAACTTGCTTAACGTCAACGTAGCCAAGACGTTCCAACAACCCAACAGTATGAGGGTTCACCGTTATAGGCCGTCCAGCTCTCTCCATCGCTACGGTTAGTTCATGTGCCCAAATTTTGAGGTGAGAATCTTCGGGCAATTCTCCGTCCTCGCACTTGGGCGTGAAATCGATCTCTACATGTTCAAGCACTCCCGTCTCGGGCTTGAGATATCTACCAGTCACGGTCAGCGGTCAGCGGTCAGCGATCACGTGGGCTCGTGACCAAATAGAGGTCATGGTCCGTACCTCAGTGCCTGGCTGTACAAAGATACCCAATTTTCTATAGAGCCAGCAAGCATTTTCATGTGGATAAGATCGAAAGAAGACTCTTCAACACCGGACCAAGGTTCCTCGATATCGCACCGTTGGAACTCGACGCCAGGCGGAATCCTGTACTTAGGTAATTAGTATAAATAGGGGGCCACGATAGGGATTAGCGCACCTAAGAGGTTGTATCAAGGAAAGGTCCCAGCCAAGGATATTAGCTCGTCCTTGATGGCGACTACGAAAAGATAGGTTAGGTTAGCCAACGGTCTATGCGCTAACTTGATGCCGTATGAGCGACTCACTCAGCCATATCGATCACCCAAATACCAGTTCCGCATCCAAGGTCGAGAATTCGGGGTTGGTGAGGTAGTGGTCGCTGACAAAGGCCTCCGTAGCTAGCGTTGTCTTCCCGTCGCGCCACTAGAAAGAACTTGTGAAATATATCCATTCTATCCATTTCTCCCTAAACGCCAGTTTTAGTCGGAGTTCGGTTTGGACAAGATTCGGCCTAACTAGTTCCATACCTCATCCATGGGGAACATGTATTTGCCCCTTCGAAACGTATCATAAGATCGGCCATTTTCCGTATACCACCATTCCTCTGGTTTTACTCTATTTTCGACTCGTGGCGCGAGGGAGTTAGGCGGTATCGGTGCACTAATAGAAATAAAGGCATTTGTTAGCATAGCCGAAAGCTTTAGGCAGAAGCTTGGAAGCTCGGAGACCTTTTGACGTACCCGTTCTGGCCAGAACCTGAGCCTGAAATTGGACCGTACATCGAACCGTTGCCATTGTAAGCCATGGCGGAAACGGTGTGGCCCAATCGGGGCGGGAGCACGCGCGCGACAGGGCGCAACCCTAGGGAATCCGTGGTGAAGGTGTTGTGAGGTTAGATGGGAACGATGCTAAATGTTGCGAAAAGGGTGACAACGTCGAGTCGGCGATGCGCTAAGTTGTGACCTTGTAGATTGTATAGGCGTAGATAGCTTTGGGGCGGTTGGACCAGCTACTCCTGGCTCTAGACCAGGATGTTGAAAGCGCAAAGGTTTTAAAGGGGGGAGGGAAGAGAAAAGAATGACGAAGGGGTAAATGCACAAGCAAAAAGTAATAGGGGAATAATATTCAAAGAGAAAAGAATCCAAAAAGGTTAAAAGACAAAAAAGTCAACGAGGGACCAAACTTAGAACAAAGGTACGCGTGTTGAAGAAATCGCGGACTAGAAGATGATATGTGACGACGAGCGGGTAGTGGGGGCTTGTGAGTTTCAATCGAACGAGGTACAACATAAAATTATTTTAGTGCCAACCCTAGCTTAAGTACCATCCAGTATAGCCTAAGTACCAGAGATTCCTAAGCAGCGCGGTAATGTCGTAGTGTATGATGTATAGGTGTATGGGTAATGTAAATCCGTAATTTCTCGGGCACGCAACTTAGAAGACGCGGACGCAACATCAAGAAGCATTAACACATGACATGAAATAGATGAGGAGGAGAAGCAGGAGGAGGAGGAAGAAGTGGTAGTAGACATAGGAGACTTTTTAAAGTTGAGATGGAAATTTCTAATGGACAGGGGGTCCTTTAGAGCTAGAAGTCCTGGGAAAAACGACGTTGGAACATTGTTTTCTGAAGTTATAGGTAATATGCATTTAAATATGCATGTAGGGTGCATCAACTCTCACTGGTTAACCCTCTCTAACTGGTTCACTTTGATCAATAACTACATACCTACATACCTACATAGTAGGATACCTAGGTATCCTACTAGTCCAATGTTATTCTTCACCGGCCTCATATGTACAGTACAACCTACCTGGTTATATAGCGATACTTTAAGGTACAACACATCCTAGGTAGACCCATGCATCTCGGAGAAGTGGTTTGTGGGTCCCTTAAGCAGCCAAGCATTAGGTAGCTAGCACTGTATGTACTATACCTATAATCTTCCAAGGTTCCAAGGTTCCAATGCTCCTTAGAAGGTCCATTGTACCCACCATGCAATTACCGTCCATGCGCCTTCCTCAGTCTATCCCCAGACTTCAAGACCCATAATGCTAAACTTACTTACTAATAGCCACTTACCGATAATTCTTACTCATAACATTATTCTGAATTCTTATTCTTATTTTTACCATTGGTTTGTATGACAGTTGAAAGGAGAATATGCCTTCAGACAAAATTAGTTCGCAGGTTGAGTACAAGGTCTTAGCCAAGGGCGGTCACTGGCAAAGAATTATAAAAATCTGAAGCATCAATCCATCTCCGTCTCGGCCAACAACCAGTCTCGGGAACGGTATCACCAATATAATGACACACCCGATGATGCCTCATGCTTGACCCGTCCGCTTGGTGACAAGTGGGTTCTTTTTGTAAGGCTTCGGGAGGACCCCCATCGCCTAAGAGCCTGGCCCCACCGATATAGCGCCCTCAGTCCCGATGCAGAGGATCGTGTTTCCCTGGTGGTGACACAATGCTTGAGGGCGAGGTACTAGTACAAGATCTTGTAGTAGATGGGGAATTTGTGAGATGCAGCAGGAACATCAGCTAACCCTCGAGTCTAGACTCTACCCGGCATATAATCGTCTTAATAGACTCAATTACCTATCTATCTACGCTATCATAGGCCCGAGGACTAATAGAATACAGGACCCAGGGAGGAATTGCCATATACGTAACATGTACTGCTGACAGTATCTTACCGCCAGTTCTTAGTGGTACATTATGGCCGTTGCTTATGTCCTCTTTGGTGCTGTGGTGTATCTCGAGGGAACGCGGCATGTTACACGGCTAGACGACCTACATTTATCTGTAAACGCGCATTACTGAGGCGTCAAGGTCAGATGGCCAAACTATACACCGACTTGTGTGCATCGTGGTTAAGACACAAACAAACCGCTTGGTCGAGAGGGGACGTTAGACGCACCCGAGCAGAGGCCCCCCTTGAGAAACATGCTCTTAATGCGCTGTCGTGAAGCAGTTGCAAAGTACGACCTAGAAAGGCGACACCAACAGGGGATCTAGAGCTGCTTAAGCAGATTCCCGAGAACGTGCGTCACTTTGCGGTTGCGAGATGGTCTCCCGCAACGAGTCATCTCGACGTCAGATCATAAGACTGTCTTGGATAAGGCTCCGTACGGCACAAAGTCACTGTACATTCTTCGCTTCCAACAACTCCCACCGCTCCCACCAATGACTGACCAGTCGCAGTCCCTTTTAGGATAACCAACGACCCTGGTATCCGCTCTTCGCAAGGTCTCCCTTGTATTCCCGGCAGGTAAGTAGGAGGTACGTAATGCGATACTTCTCGTCAAATTTATCTACATTTCTTACTCATAACCGGACACTTCCTAGTCAAACTCTCCTCCCCTGGCAGTATCACTAAGCTCATAACGACGCTGACAGGAAAAACGCGCAATACTATCAGCATCTTACTTAACTTAAGACAAGAACTTGGGCTCGATAGGGGTTGTTACTTCGTGACTATACGCACCACGACAAGACCTTCACTCATATCCCTATGACATTCAGTCATATCCATTTAAAAGTACGGAATATTAACTAGGGTGGACGACTCAAAGCCTTGATCGTGTCACTTGCAACTAAGACGGACGCCATAACTGGAACCAAACTTGGTTGCCTGTGGTTTTCGTTCGTTATAGCACATCTTTGCTGAAAATAAAGTCATCGACGGGCCTTTTCCAAATGGAAACATGTTCCCCCATCGCGGGGCGCCGAACCATGGTGGTGGGACCGTTGCGATGATGGATACCATCACCTACTAGAGTACATGTTCGCCAGGTATAGGCATCAGGGATGTCCAGCGGTGTACCTACGAAGTACTCGCTGCTTGTTGCATCTTTGTATGCATCTGCAGATGCAACTAGGCCATTCCTTTCGAGACGCTATTGCATATGGAAACACTATGCAGCGCCCCCCGTAAAATCCCCTATACCAGCGTCCCATTACGAGTCTATCTCCTTCTCCGTAGGTAGCACCACCTACGCCGGCCCTCATTTATCTACTTCAAAGTCATAATCAGGAAACTCTCAATTACTCTCGAGTAACGATCTAATCCGTCTTTAAACGAGGTCTGATGCCATGTGTTCACGACGATCATCGACCAGTTCACTAAGACGAGGCCTAAGCACGTCTAGCCCTCACGAAGTCTACAAAGATTGGGTACCTCATTTCTACCTATGCATTAGCATTAGAGATGATAAGCTCCACAAGTCATTACTTAACCCAATACTGCAAGTATACGTTGAGTAGAGACGTACGTCGAACCTCATAAGCATGACAGAGCAGCCAGGATTCGTCGCAAAACCTAGCCTATTACGAAAATCGGCATGAGATTATGACCTAGGAAATTCACAATATTCCTAAGGAGTACTTATTATTATATCGAGGTATAAGCAGGCACCCTAGACTTAAGTGACTTCACACAGGCTGGGTTTAGCCCTCACTGGGAAGTGTCCTGTCACGAAGACCAATCAAGACAACAAGATCGAACCCGACACTACGGAACGCAATTAACTTAAGCCTTGGCATTCTCCACTAGTTAGAGAGCTGTGTTGGCAATTGTCTCGGGTCAGAATTCTTTAATGAAGATATGGAGAAGGTCCCGGTTGCTAGCAAGGCTTCCACTAGTTAGGGACCCAGCAGTCCGCACGAAGCACTCGTGTCCTACATACATTAGACACATCGAAGCAAAAGAGTCATCCTCACGTCAGGAAGAATGTAAATGGTGGGCCTTGCTTCTACCTCCATCAATGAGGCATTAGCGGGATGTTTCTTAAGCCACCCCCTGTCTTCGGCCCGGTATTTTGGTTGTCGAGGGACTAAGCTGGCCCGACAAGGGCATGCCTAGCCGACCCGACAACTCAGCCCAGCCAATCCAAATTCCCATAGCTACCTACCTAGGCAGGTATGCATCACTTTTCCGGCAGAAATCCATCTACAAGGTTCTAGGCAAGCTGAAACGATCAATGGGCTGTAGTCAGGCCTCACTGACCATGTCGATCACTGGAGTGTCCGCGATTCGTATTTTCACTTTGTGGTTTCGGACAACACCGCGAACCACTCTCGCGAACCGCTCTCGATCCCGACGCACAAAACCCACCGTTCTAATTTTACCTGCTAGGCTGTTCTTCTAGTGGCATGTTTGACCATCTTATTTTCATCGGTCCTTCAACTATAGCTGTGCGACGCTCGTCTACTTTGGAACCATCTCGACGTCATCCTATTGGATGCCGAGCGAGCGAGCTGACCTTGCAACGGCCGGCTGCAGGATCAAATGACTGAACTGGTCTTGGTATCGTAGACCGCAAAGATGCTGTCGGGTAATTCACTGGTACCTGCATTCCTACAGCCAGCAAGATAGATCTCGCAGAAAGCAGAATGGGAGCTGCGATAACCCGTCTCAGCATTGACTTGCGTTCGCCAACGCCTGTCAGATGTTTATAAAATTTCCAATTCGGTATACACGAGTGACACGGCTACATGTTACTCTGCCAAGAACATTCGGTGCTCGAAAAGACAAACTGTCACGTTCCAATTACCAAGCGCCGAGACATGTAGGTGAAGTGCATCTCGTATGTGTCTTGCCTCTTAATCAACACATTGCCCAGCAAGGAACGGCTATCATGGCTACCAAGCTACTCCAGCGATTCATCGACTTAGTCGTATTCAAATCATATTAGATTAGTTGCCGGTACGGGACAAATCATCTCAAAGCGCTTCTCTCGGCAAGGGACTTAATACCTCAGTCTTTTTAACGCTTCTGGCTAAAGTCTAGGAGACGCAGTTGGAACCAAATGGCCATCCGATGACCAGCTACACTTCTAAGTTAATTTGGGCTAGCCTTGTCGCTAGGCTACTCCAAGGCCAACAGATACCGCTTCAGTTAAATTGACCTCCCATCAAACCGCACCGATATACCTACATACATCATGTCGCAGTCACAGAATCTAAGGATCGCAATCAGCACGAGACGGGAATAGTAAGAGACTAGGTGCATCAGATTAGTATCAGCTGATCGAACCGTCCATGATAGACAAATGGCCAGCCAGCCGGAATTTTAACATTTTTCTAGGGAGTACGGGTCTACCGGGGATAACGACCAGGTAGAATGATATGCAAGAGGTGAGGATTCTTGCAAATCATAATTGCCGCCGGCGAAGAAGGTTGCATCAAACTTCCAAGTTAGGGCCGGGACCCGAAATCAAATCCCGAATTGCCTGTCTGACTGCCTATAGAACGATCTTATAAATTTACGTCTCACCGCTCGCGCAATCGTTACCAGACTGTCGGGTCGACTAAATTTCCCCTTTCCCACATTTTTCTCTTCATCCGCTGATCCCGCACTTCCCGTCTGCTTCGCCACCTTCGCCGGCTTACGTATTAATACATTATCTTTTTTCATTTTGATATTAATTATGATTAGGTCTAATAAGAGTCAACTAGATGGGTTCGACCAAGGACCAGGCTAGGGGATAGAGAAAATCATCGTTTCACGAAGCACCCTCTTGGGAGGAATGGGTTAGTATCGCCTAGCTCTCACCCAACACTAAAGTCAGCCGGTGAACCTGTTTCTCTGGTAGCTCATTTATTCGACCTTCACGACAAGAACTACCATAATCAGCCCTTACACAGGCTCGCTTCCACTTCGTCATTACGTAAACAAGGGATATTCAAACAACCTTGGAAGCTGTATCATCACCCCTGCCGGTCATCTCAACGAAGGTCACACAAGAACACTAGACCTAGCGATCATCTGCCGTGAGCCGCATGTCGCAGACGCCACATCTTCACCTTGATCCTGACCGATCCAGTTTGGCCTATAGAAAAAGTTACCGAAGGTGAGACTTGCATTTGCACTCACCAAATTTTCCCGGGCACGTAGCGGCACATCGCGGCACGACTTGCGGTACAACTTGTTACAAGTTGCTACAGTCTTCGTATAGCTAAACGTTCGGACCCTCTCCCCCCACGTCGCCTTGTTCAATCCTTCAACAGTTTCACGAATCTCAAGAGAGCTAGAAGTCCCAGGAGTCCTACATAAATCCACATAGGTAACCTATTAAGGAAAATCCTACGAAGCTCTTCACTAGTCAGTTAAATCCCGGGTTATACTCCGGTTTAAACAAGTCATGCTCGCCTTGGGTCAATGATAAGATACTTGGTAAGTACAGTATTTATAGGCAAGGATGATGACTCCTCTAGAGGGTTGTGGCGCATTTCTCATGGTATAATACGCTGGTAGGGGGTAAAGGGGGTCCGACCGTACCAACTAAAAATGGCATAGGAGAATGACCCAACACCACGGCACCCAATTACACCCTAGTAATGATAACATGGATAACTTCAAAAAGTGAGGTGCCTTAGCCCTTCCTTGGTTCTCGGGACGTCAACTACGCATAGCTGCTCATGCTGCTCCTGGCCAATAACCACATACCAATACACGTGTAATAACCGGCTTGTCCCCCGAGCTTCGAGCCTAACGCAAACCAGTTTCTCTCAAGCCACAAAGTTATAATCACCGCACCCGGCAGAAGTTGCTCCATACAGCCATTCCATATACCCCCAATTCACAGTTATGTCAACGCTATAACATATCACTCTCGCGTTGGTAAGATTTACAACGCGGGTTCCACCCGAGGCCCGGCCACCCGGCCACCGGGACCAACAGGCATAACGACCTAACTCCAAAAGGACGGATATTCATACACGCACCGAGGCGAGCTTCCACATGCGACCTAGCTCCCCTCAGAGGGATAGCAAAATGTTCACGTGTCAGTACTGACGAGTCTTATATCAAGGGCGGAGGACCCGGTCGACGGACCCACGTGTCAGACCGATGGTTGCTAGCTTCGTAAAGATCTCCAGGATTCGGCATACCGCTCTAAGAACTAGACGACAACTCATCTAGAGGGCCGTATAGTAGACCGCCTCCATATTTCTTAATACATATTTGGGACCAGCACTGCTTCTCGCCTTCTAGTCAATCGGACCGGAATCATTACTCCCGCTTCTTTCGGAACAGCACTTCCGTCTCGCAGAGCTAAACATGTTTATGAAGTTCCTATATGAGGCCAGATATGGTATGACTTCGCGAATATCTATGGAAATAGCAGAGAAGAAGCTCGTATACCAGCCCCGTTCATGACCCGTCTTCTGGGCTAAGGAATGTACATACATAATTAGCCTCATTATAAGTGCCTGTCTACATGCGTATGTCGGAATCTCAAGTCGTGTATACGCAATTGCACGCTACGTGACCCCAAGCGTCCTTCTGGTAACCTTACATTGACTATACTCTATTCACAACTCTTAGCAATTTTCCAACTGATTGTCATAAATAATCTTGGCGTGATTGTAATAGTACATCGTGTACTTTTCGTAGTACAGTCATATACCTATGACCTCCGCTACTTTATTACTATCTTCCTATGATATTTTCAGTTAAGCCTGTCATAGGAGACACGAAGTCATTAATAGCTGAGGGGCGCGTACAGAAAACGGCCCCCAAACTGACCCCTATTCAATGTCTCCATGGTCCCGGGAAAGTACTATCGATTATCATATGTGCGCACTTAAGTAATTAATAGAAGACATATAACCCCAGCAATGCCTAGGAGACCAATGGCACACGCCTATCATTACTGCTCTACCATTGTACCAAGACTACCGATTTTCTGGGAAGGGGGGAGGAATATGGTGTATATCGCTAACAGCATCTAAAGAATAGGCAAACAACAAATTACCTTGTAGATAATCTGGACGACGGTTTTCTGTGCTTGCCTACTTGTCACATTTTAACCTTATAATGAGAAGTTACAGGATGGTAGATAGTCATTCAGACAATTGTGACATGGCAATTGATATGCTAGGAGTACTATTCATAGGTCTGATTACTCCATATATCAATGTCAATCACATGGATGTTGTAATTACTTCCCCTTTTCAAACCGTGCGCTACTTACCGTTATTCGCACTTCAGGGGAACAATCTCAGTCTTCACTCGCAATAATCGTGTACAATAAACCCCTTGAATAGGTAGGCTTCTTAAGCATAGGTATACAACACGAAGATGTATACTTAGACAGGTGCGTACCTAAGTATGCGTACCTCTTCTTTAAGTCCTTGTACTTGACCAGAACTATGTCATTACACCTCTAATGAATCCATGCAACAGCGAGGTCAAACATGAGGACACATCTTCGTATCTGACACTTAGGCAGTTATATCCATCAAGGAAAAAAGAGAAGGGTTAAGCTTCTACACGACCTACGCAGTAGAACCCAATTTTCTGCTCTCATACAAAGACGCAGGGCTTCCAGATGTCTTATGATGAGCCTCCTAACATCTGTTCTCCTTTGAACCCCTTATATAGAATCAGGATATGCTATAAAGTCGTGAAGCGTAATCCATCAGCCGAGAACAGCATACTGCTTGCCTAAAACTCACCGACCTCTTTTCAACGGAAGCAAGTACGTGACTTGTGTTACGGGTAGTAAAGAAGTCATTGCGTTCCCTGTTGATCAGCTTTATGAACCATCGAGCACCAAGTAAATTAGGATCCGTCGTGAACGAAGCGGCTCTCTGATCTGAGAGGGTGTATTGAATACCCCTACTACTGGATTGACCAACCCGTCACGGTACAGTCCGTATCCATGCTTACCCACCCATCCGGCAATATCTACGTGAGTAATCGCCTTACTCTATTGAACATCAAAACGGCTATCTGTGGCTTGCGCCAGCACTCCCAGACACTCAACCCAGCCCCTCTACAACTCTTCACATTCACGCCACGAATCACCAAACCCAAGTCGCAAATCATAGTATAAAATCCATTTAGCAACCAGCATCTGCTATTAGTACAGGTATCCCGGCCTACCAGTACGGCACTGTGCATCAGTGCCACTAGAGACCAGGTCTATTGCTCGCCCTTTCATAGCACCACTTCCTCCCTCCTTGTTTCTACTAGACCCGGTCGGAGCCTAGAACCGGAGCCAAGTGCATTTATTCGTTGCGGTTAGGAGAACCAGTGGTGCAGAGTGTAAATCAAGAGCGAAAATAAAAAATAAGCAGCAATGTCTACCATCATCCCATGCCAGTCCTAATCGCAAATCAACCCTCTTGTGTGAATGTCGTCAATGTTTTTTGTTTCCTTGATTAATGCCGGGTAGATCTGATTCGTCTTGCTTCCAAGTTGCTTGTCGGCGATTGGGTCGCAGGTGCTAATACGAAGCAACATAGGGAAGTAGGAAATCGTCATAGTCGGCGTGTAGGCGAGATACGCCCCCGAGTACGGAATGAAATCATGTCTTGTACAACGTAACGCCAATGATCAGAAGAAGTGCGCCCGGCCACTACCATTCATACTCGCCAGTAGCCTTGTGAAAGACGTAGTCCTTGCCGTTCACGCTAAGGACACCGTCCTTCAAAACACACTTCCTGTTTGATTGTGAGCCAACGTAGTTCAAAGCATTCACTTTACAAAGAAAAAATATCGCTTACCACTTGTTCTTGACTCGCTGGACCTTGTCATACATACAGAGCATGATTTGGCCACCGTCATCGTCATCATCATCCTCTTCCGGGTTATCATCAGGATCGTCAAGGTCCGAGTTGATAGCATCCTCATCTGTGACTTCATCCTTCATACCATCATCCACACCCGGGCCGTCAAATTGCGAGAGGCCGCCGGAGGCTGGTGTACGGTGATGCGAGACGATGGCCTTGCCCTTGCCCGTACGCTTAAGGGGTACCATCAAACCGCCACCTTCCATAGCTTTCGCCTTCGCGGCAATCTGGGCGTGGAGCAAGTTATCAATCTCAACTCTTCCCATCTCCACATCTCCAGCTTGGCTGCGACGCATAAGGACTCCGATATGGCTGTCTGCATCGCTTGCGCCATCCATCTGAGACTGAGGAGGCCTTTGGCCGTTCTGCATCTGCGCACGTTGCTGCTGAGCATTAGGAGGCATAGTGGGTCGGTATTGTTGCTGAGGATGGCCCTGGAACTGACCAGGGTAGTTCTGCGGCATAGGTTGACCACCAGGTCTCTGGGCGTTCTGCGGCTGACCGTTGTTAAAGGTCTGCTGAAGCTTGTTAATCGAAGCTGCAGCACGATCGCCATACAGAGACTGCAGCTGTTGGGAGACGCGTTCTTGAACGACGTCGGAACCACCCTGCTGAGCAGCCTGGGGGAACGCAGGCGTGGGCTCAAGACCGGGCTCTGTCTTGACACCAGGTTCAGACTTGATGGTAGGGTCTCTAGAGGGCTGCGATCCAGGCATAGTTAAGCCTTGTGGCTGAGGCGCATGCTGCTGGTTATACGAAGCGCCGTTCGTGGGAGCCTGAGGAGTAGGCTCAGGCGCCGGAGTAGGTTGAGGTGCAGTAACAGCAGGGGTGGGAGGGTCTGGCTTAGGATCCCAAGGGAAAACAGCCAACTGCTGCTGGGAGAGCTTCTTCTGCCATCCCTGATAGAAGAGTGTTAGCTAACAAAATCCCACATCTGAAACAATAACATTTTGTCATATATTTTCTCGTTTCGTAGGTGACATGGGCAGCGACTTGAAACATTGACCTTGCAATGTACTGGATGAATAGACGGTTGACGGCATCTAAGTAACAAGCTTGGGATATGAGAGTGACGAGTGAAATATTGTAAACGTGCACAGTAAGTGGCACGTGAGTGGATTAGTATCCAACCAATGAACCAATGAGAAACGACATGAGTCACAAGGAGGTTTGCAGCGGGTGCAGAGGGATAAAAAGCCCAAATAGTGCCTGCCCGCCCCTCACGAAATCCGCCAATTCTCACCACCCTCGGCCGCGCCTGTTGCCAGCACATGCCTACCCGGTAAGTGAGAGCAAAGGTTGCCTCGCAACCCAGCAACCCATCAAACCCAGAGGAAATTTTCAAAATGTAAACAATAATCGACGAAAAAAATCAATCAAAATGAAGGATTCGATGGTAATGCAATAATTATTGATGGTTGGAGCTGACCGAAGGGAGAAGCGGTAGAGTAGGAAAGGAGAAAAAGAAAAGGTCGTGATGGCTCACCTTCTTGAGTTCTTCCAGAACGCTCTCGTCCACGCCACCTTCTTCGAAATCGACTCGCGAAGCCTCAAGCACATCAGTGATGATCTGCGAATAAACGTTTCCAACCTGCGAGTTCGACATCTTGGGTGATCGAGTCGGACTGCTTAGGTAAATCGGATGGCCTGGTTCGTCAAGATCGGGTACCGGAAGATGCGAAAAGTAGGAACACGATAAATCGAGTAGCTTGTCAGGTTACATAAAATTGCGGGCGCCGTATGAACCTTGCGAAAGTAGAGGATTGTAGAGAGCGCGGGGTTGCGCAATTGCGAAGGAGATAAAGTTGAATGCGGCGGCTTGCGAAAGTTGTAGAATGGCTGAATGGCTGGAATACGCAAGTTGGTAGCGGAACCCCAGCATTTGCTCAAATGCCCAAACTCCTCCCCGTGCGCCCTCTTCAGATCTTGCTAAAATTTAATTCTATGGCCTTCCTGATCCTAATTTAGCAGTTCGCATGCGATTTTTTACGGTTGTGTACTGCTGCAGCGTGTTGGGCTGACCGCGAAATATCGGAAGTTGGTGATGTTCTCGTGAAGTTCGCCTGAAAGAGTGTAGTTTGTTAATACCTTTGGAAGTGCCGCGTCCTTGATTACCTAATGCCACATAAACCGCACTAACTCCGAACTAAGATAAGATAAGTTCGGGGGGTTGTCAACGGCACCCCCTATGAACGGCACCCCGGACCAGATCAACCAATCAAACGCCAAATTTCTCTGAAGATCCATATAACTTGTTGTACTCTTTTATCCTTGATTTTTACATTTTTACTTTTAATTTAACTATTCACACTGTGACTAAGATCTCTTACACCAATTAAAACGCGTCATTCCTATCGATACGTCCCATAATAAATATTCAAGCCAATCAACGCATAGAGCGGCTACTAGCACAGTGCAAAAGGGTACAAAGCGGCTTCAAGCTAAGCCATTTTAAGATTTATTCTTATCTAGCCCTTTAATTGGATAACCACTTTCACGGGTCACGTGAACCACCTCCAGGAGTCACGTGATACCTAAGAATATACGCAAAAACATTTTCAACTAAAAATTCAACGAATTAATCAAACGTTTATTTTTGGAAAAGTGGAGGTAGTCACGTGGCTGAACTGGGGTTCCGAACCTGACCAGGGTATCAGTGGCCCAAAAACTAGCTTAATTAGGACTAGTAACAGGGTTTTATCGGTTAACTTCATCAAGTTATACCCGAAATGGTAGTTAAAAGCTATTCAACCAATCTAAAATGGTTTTCTATCTGAGAATGTACCGCGTTATACCCAAAACGGCTAAGTTTAGCCCGCTTTTACAGGGGGTGCCGTTCATAGGGGGTGCCGTTGACAACCCGCCGAACTTAGTTACTGTGCCGCCCAGGTACGGACTGGGACGTACTGCCGCTATGACACACCAAAACATGTACCTAGGGAAGTCACTGCCGGCATTATTCGCACGCCAAAGCAAGTAGAATGAGGTAATCGATACAACTTAATCAACAAATCCCGATCTTCATTTACAGGTAATTGGTAACATAGGCCGAATTTACCGGCATTGCAAGTCACAATCATCAGAACAGCTTTGTAACGCAGGATTTCTGAATACAATTAGAAGCTCAAACTAGACACGATCCCATATCTTTTCGATATGTAGACCACCCAGTTATCACTGCTCCATCCTTAATTAATAGTACCTAATGCGACCTGATGCCCGTAAACTCCCATTATGACCATTATGATGCAATCCCTCATATGAATCTCAATCTTAAGGCCTTCCGTAACAGGCGTTATCATATCGTAGCTCATGACCAACTCCAATCCGGACGAAGACCTTTCCACGGTCGTAGGATGTGGATATCCCCAACGCCGCGCTGAAGGGACACCAAATGCAGTACCAGAGATGCCAGAATAAAATCGAGATACCTACTGTTGTTGACGGAGATCCTGACATTTACTAGATCTGCATGGTGACTTAGCGGATAGTCATCTGCTTGGCCATCTGAGCCTTGCTGGAAGAGCCACTGGCACCAATGCCCGCGGAGGCACCGGCCTTCTTCTCGAACACCTTCCAGAACTTCAAGCTCTCATCGGCAGCTATCGCAAGAAATATTAGTATACACTCAGAAGACATGTTCCGTGATAGATTGTTCCTTACCTGCAGTAGCGAGCATTTGTCCATCGGGACTAAGGCAACTGTGGAGAACCCTGCTCTCGTGAGCGGGGATCTCGACATTGCGGACGAGCGTAGGGTAGCTCCAGATGCTGAGAGAGTTGTCAGGGAAACCACTTGAGCTGACGATCTCACGGTAGCTGGTAGACCATCGCAGACTGGTGACTTGAGAGCCAGTGTCAATGCTGTTTACACGAGCACCAGAGGTGGTGTTCCAGAAGTGGATATGACGGTCGTAAGAGCCACCACCGGTAGCAAGAAGGTTGATGTTCCAAGGGCACCAAGCAAGAGCCTTGACAGCAGCCTTGTGGTTGGTCTTGGTGAACTTGGGGACGGCGAGGGAGCGGGCATCCCAGATGGAAACAAGGTTGTCGTTGCCTCCAGTGGCAAGCTGGGCGCCATCAGATCGCCATTCAAGTCCACAGACTTCAGAGGTGTGAGAAACGAGCTCTGCAACCTTGTGCTCGGCGATACGGACATCATGGTTGTAGACAAGGCCACTTCGAGCACCAGTAGACAGGAGGTGCTTGTTCCAGCCCATGACACCTACGCGGGTGTCGTGACCGAACATGCTACGGACTTTCTGGCCCTCTGCAACATCCCAGATTTGGACCTCGCCGGTTCCAAGGCCAACACCGACATAAGCACCGTCACCAGACCATTTAACACTGCTGACATAGGTGTCAGGGCTAGTCTCCAACAAGCAGCTCACGGAGCCTTCGTCGGCAGACCAGACATAGACATTTCGCTCAAGACCAATAGCAACTTGGTTGCCCGAGCTCCAGTCAAGGAGGTTCAAGTAGTAGTCATCAATCAGACCAGGGGCGTCGAGAACGCGTTCAGGGGCGGTCGCAATGCGGCGTCTGAATTGGGCGGAGCTTGCATTGGCAGGCTTAAGAGGCCTGTTGTACTGTTGACGAAGATCAATAGGCTTCGACGACTCAGGAGGGGCAGGCTTGAACTGCAGGATACGGGTGTTAAGGTTGACGCCGCAAGCATTAGCCAAGGAGTCTTGATAAGCGACAGTGTTAGGGGATGGTCGGGCGTAGCTGGCCTCCTCATCCTCGTTGATGTTAAGGCTCTCTAGAGCAGCGATAGCGTCGTCAGTAGCGGACGATAAGACGTTGGATGCCTCGTTGCTACGCGACTTGGGTCGCGACTTGTCTTGTGTGTCCAACTTTCCAGAGCCTGCATTGGAAATAGCAGAGCTGTTGCTACGGTTCGGAATGAATCGGTCCGCCGCATAGGTAACGGTGGTCTTGCTCGTCTTCTGTCGCAGAGGTGCCTTCTTCGTCTTGGTGCTGGAAGGGGACTTGCTGTGGCCGGTACCAACAAGAGTGAAGTCCGACACACCTAGCTCTAGAGCCTTGCGGGGAGTGGCAACACTTCGAGCAATGTTGGACTTGGGAGAGTTGCGGTGCGAGGTTCTTGAGCTAGTCTTAGCGAAGTGTGCCGACAGGTTTCCTCCGTAAACGGACTTGCCAGCTGGGCGGCATGCATCGTGGGATTGTTGTCGGTCGGGTGTGAAGGGAGACGATTCCACGTTGACATTGTTGGTCACGGTGCGTTGACGAGGGGACGGGGTCAAGGGCATCCGACCGCCAGCGGTACGGGAGGAGAAAAGTCCCTTGTGGGACTTGAGGGGAGTTGATACTGCAACTGATGCCATAGCGTCTGATTGTCTAGTGTATGACTATAAATAGGTTGTGTACCGAGATAGATAAAGTGTTGAACTCCGACGAAGAACAACTCAATGTCTCGAAGGAGTATTGATGTGAGTATGTTATGAGAGCTCCGATGATATCGAACGAGCTCCAAGAGACTCAAGTTAATGGTTCCTGGATTGGGTAAATTGGTTAGTAACAGTCGTCGTTGTGTTCGATAAATCGAAGTGTGCTTTCACGCAGAATAGCTGAGTCGGTGGGGCGATCAAATGGCTGTACGTAGCAGCGATGAGATCTAATGGACTCGAAAGTGATAATTCGTTGTGAAAGGCTTTGTGATAGATAGAAGGCCTAAAAAGGCAGAGAGCATTGATGGAGTTTGGAGGGATGCGGATGTAGAGAGTAAAGGTTTGCAATGAGGAAAGAATCAAAAGTTAGAATTGCTGATGAACTCTCTGGATTTATGTGTTTACAACGAGTGGGTCGCACCTTCTTCGTTGTGAAGGGCAACCATTGCACCCCACCAATTCTAGCAAACGATGCTTGATTAAGTTTAGGCCGTCACGCACCTACCAATTCTCAATTACATCTCCGTATCCATTTGTTTCAAGTGGCTTTTGTGGCTCGTGTGTCACTGTATGATGTATTTCAGTCTCCACAGCCCCATGCTTAGTCACTCAGGGTCACTTTATAATGAAGCGACATTGGTCACTATTTAAGAAAATCTCCACTTAGACTCTTCCAGCCTGATCATAGCCAACCCTGAGCCAACCCTGTCTTCGACCGTGGGCGGGTGTGAGACGGGAACCTGAGCCTGAACTTGGCTGATCGAAAGAAGAACAAGTAACCCCTGCATTTGACAAATGCTGCATCTAAATTGATGATTGATGAAATATTGGGCATTGGACACACGCAATAGGACAACCAAAGTCTCCTCCGATATCCCAAGTCCAAGGTTTCGAAGGTCCACCTTTCTGATTATAATCTTCATTGTTCCAAATCATTTCTAAACCCCTTTTGTTGGTCGTTTTGGTCTATCCGTCGCAAGTCCTTTGCGCCAAAAGGGAATAGAAATGTCGACGTAGTCTTAATCGATCGACAGATAACCTTTGTCTCTGTTGTTCAGCCCGTTCAGCTAAACCCAGCCAACTCCAGCCTTACAATCGATAATCGATAATCGAAGCCATGGCCCATCACTCAACTTCCTCAGCCCTTTCGCATTCCCTCTTCGGCGGCCCTTCCAACTCCTCCAACCCTCCATATGCTCCCTCTGCGCCCTCCTCCGCAACTCCTTCGACTTCAAACGCGCCCACTCCCGTGTCTGCTATGTCTGCCGCATCGTCCAACAACACTTTTGTCATGCCAAACTCGCCCATGAAAAGTAGGCCTATGATGGATGGTTACCGGCCGAAAGTGACACGAACTCTCGGTCAGCGGCCTGCCTGTTTGGTCAACGCCTCGGTTACGTATTGTGGAAATAATCAGATCTATGCATTCGGCGGATTCGACCAGTACACGGACGAGGTGTACAACCACGTGTTGAAACTTGACCTTGTTAGCCATCAATGGAGTTTAGTGGACAACTATGGGGATATCCCTGGCGTGAGAATGGGTAGGTTTGGCTGTTGTGCTCTAACCTGTGCACCGACACTTACGAATCTGTGTAGGACACACTGCTACTTTATACCAGGGTGACAAACTCCTAGTTTTTGGCGGCGAGAATGAGCACAGGACGTATCTATCTGATCTTATAGTATTCGATCTGAAGACCGCTCATTGGACGCAGCCCCAAGTCTCCGGTCCCGTTCCGAAAGGTCGAGCTAGGCATGCAGCTGTCTTGCACGAAGACAAGTTGTTCATCGTTGGTGGCATAACTGGCCACGAGAGCTATGTCTCAGAAGATATATGCTATTTAGACTTGAAGACCTACACCTGGTCAAGGTCATGGCGTTTCGTCCCTAGATTTGATCACTCAGCCTATATATGGTATATACGTCTAGTTGTTCTGAACCCTAGTACCTAATACTAATATTTCCTAGGGGCGATCGAGTCTGGGTATTTGGTGGATTAAGTAGGGATATGGACAAGATCGGTGATTTGTGGTGGCTTGACTTGAAGGGCAGCCCAGATTTTGAATCTCCGCCGCAGATTGGAAGTTCCGCTCCTGACCGACAAACATCAACGAGTCGTCCCGGCGATTCCCCGCGGCCGTCTTATTCGATTGGTTCAGCTCCACCTATTGGAGCTTCAGGCTTTGCAGCTAACATCCGAACAGCTCAGGTCAACACCCCCTCGTTCCATCTAAAGAGGCAGGTTCCGATGGCCCCTGGCCCGATATCTGTTTTGAGATTCGTATCTGGCGGAAATATCCCATCTCAAGGTTCCGGTATCCATTTCCACATATATTCTTCGGGGACCCTCTTGGATTTCGTTACTCCGGTTGCGACCATTACTTCGAAGGAATGCTCCCTATCAGCGTTGGACCTGGCTACGCTGAGGTGGCAGAAATTAGCCGAGGGGCGGGAAATTTTCAAGTCGGGATATCAGTGGCATTATTGCACTATGAATGAAGATGGGACGAAAGCCTGGCTGCTAGGGTGTCCGACCGACGCGGTTAACGATATGGGTCCGAATGGTTTCGAGGAGTATCTAAGTGATATAATGGAAATTGACCTACGACGTTATGGTTTTCTAGGCAACAACGCAACCCCTGAACTTCGAACGGATCATGCTAGACCGACATCCCATGCTCGAGTTCAAGATCAACCTTCGAAAGGATTGGGCCATGATCTTGCTAGACTCTTCAACCAACCGCCGGAAACGGGAAGTGGAACCGATTTCACGATAACAGCTCTTGCCGGTGATGACTACGACGAGGACGACATGATGGGTTCTAGTCTTATTCGAGCAGGGGAATCACCGATGGATCAGAATTGGCTGACGCCTGACGCGCCCACTTCTGCTCCGATTCATGTGCACAAGCTTATTCTCCAGGCTAGATGGCCGCACTTCGCCAGACTGTATAACGCGCAGATGGCAGAGTTCCACACCAAGAAGATGCATATTCCGGAGCCTTACACGGTAGTCAAGGCATTCTTATACTACCTCTACACTGACAGCATCCATGCCGACGATGGGGTAACAGATCTTTCGGACGTCGCGGGATTATTAGTTATGTCTAACATCTACAACATACCTCACCTACGCCTCCTCTGCGTGAATCGATTATCAAAGGAGCTTGACGTAGAGCACGCATGTATTATCTGGTACTGCGCAGGATTAGCGAGCGAGGATTGGCTCCGTAAGAGAGCCGCACAATTCTGCCTGACGCACTGGGGCCGTATTGTGCGCACCCAAGGATTCCTGCGCCTACCGCGATCAGCCCTGGTCGAACTATCACAGGAGATAGACATGGAAGGCAGAGTTATTGGAGGTGATGAGTTGGAGTATGTGGATAACTGCCGTGGCCGATTCGACGCATCAGGTGTCTCGCGGAAAGACAGCATTAGCAGCGACCACACGCAAGCCCTACCATCTGACGTTGACGACTCGGAAGGGATGGACCTCGCATAGCAATGCATGCTAGAGATCCTTCAATATAGGGGTCTCTACTAAAAATGCATTCAAGTTCAGCAACGCGACTTACGACAAACATACATACACATTCAGCATTTGAATATCGCTCTATTTGGTCGCGCTCTTAGCTTAGTCAAACCTACCTAGGTACCTCTCAAGGAGGACGACAGTTTTATGGATATCCGAGGTGCGCCTGGCGTGTCACCTCACGAAGCAACGGAAACGAGACACCATCACTCCTTTTTTTGATATTTTATACCACCCTTTCTCCTTTTACACCCGGCCAGGTGTGGAGACTGGGTTTTGAGCATGGCTTCGGTGTTCTGGGATGGGGTGGATATCAACGAGGATATTAAGCTATCGAGCGAAGAAACATTGAACAGAGGGAGCGTGGCGGAGAGGAAGAAAGAATATGCGACTAAGCTGCGAGCCACCGGGAAGGATTAGGCTATGTTATTATGTTTATCGAGGATGGCTTGGCTTGGCTTCTTGCTGCACTCCTTATAAGTGTAGGGTGTTGCTACGTATTTTAACCTACCTACTTTACTATTTAGCTCGCGAGAGTAGTATTACGGAAATATACAATACCTTGGTCGGTCCATTTTAGGGTTCTAAGTTGTTGGCTACCTAGCGAGGTGAAAAGGGGGTGAGAGGCTATTGCATTGGTACCTACTAGGCATGTGAAATTTGAAATTCTTAACGTTACATGAAATGGAATAGGTAAGTCTAGATGAGATGGGTCATCGTTGCGGAACTCGGCACAGCCTAGCTCGAGGTGGTATCGGTTATTGCATGTATGTAGGTATGTAGTAGTATGACTCGGGCCCTACATTAGTCGAGGAGGCGGCGTCGGTAGAGTTTTGTGGGCTTCGAAGCTCCGGAAATGCCATCGAGTCAAGAATGGCTAAGCTAACATGTATATTATGTACATGGATCTAGGTCGGAACCCATCTAACGAATATTATTAGCAGTGCATCCTAGTTCAACTTCTCTACATACATACATATTAGTAGATCTCTCTTTAACACGGAATGTGCCGCTATATTAGTTCGTATATAATTCGTGTCCACGGAGCTTATTACTAATAAGTGCCAATTTACTAAAAGAGCTTTGAGAGGCTCTGTAGGGCGGGAGGGCGCCTCGGGCGTTCTAGCTCTTTAGGGGCTGGATCGCGGACTACGCGTCATGGGTTCGTGTTTTAATAAGTTTCGTGTGCTTTCCGCTCATGCGAGCTGAGGCGGCTTCAGCTGAGAGGGGGTTTGAGGCGGTTTTCGTGAGAGCTGAATGGATGGATGGATAATTCGTGTTCGTGATGCTTATTAATTCTAGGATTGGAAAGGGGGGCGAGGAAATCGAAGAACGTGGAATTATTCACATAGGTAGCACGTCATTAACAAGACGAGATACCTGAGATTGATGAAGAGTATGTACATAGTTAGCTACCTACCTACATATATACATGCATCCGAAGTCTCTACATGCGTGGCCAACGGTTGAGCTTTCGAGGCCAGGTGTAGGGATATACGTTAATTAGAGAACTTGGGATTGGCCATCTAGTCCCAAAGTATAAAATGGCCCCTATCCTTACCCGCATATGCAAGTTGATGGTTCGGGATTTCCCATAATGTAACAGAAATGCTATTCACCTGCTTCCATTAGACTTCTAGACGCGCGCTACTTAAGTACGTGTGTATGTACGTACTGTACATACGCGAGGACTCTGGTGGAGCATGGGGGTTCGGGATCTTAGAGTGGACTCTTCGCTAAGGGCGTAATAGGGCGAGACGGCTGCTGCTAGTGAGATGTGAAGTTTTGGAGGTCCACCGTGGAGGTTTGGCTTCTGGTGCCAGTGTGAAGGACTCCGGTTTCTCCATGAGGGATGATGGATTGCGGGCTAGACGATAGATTGGGATTGTATTGGCAAGCAGACGGAACAGTATATGATTTGCTGTAATTTGTCCGAGTAGAGGCTTCATAAACTTGTCTATATTTCTCCGTGGGTTGAAGAAGGAAAGAGAAAGTACCTAGTTATATGTTCCAAGCTATCGCATTTATATATATCATATTACTAGTTCATAAGTAGGTACCTGTCTGTATCTTAGTACCTTTCCAAAGTATCTAGCAAAAGCCAAAAGCTAGAAAAAAAAGCTGGGACTTGAGGTGAATCGAGATAACACGTTTCAAAAGGGGGCAACGATAGCCTAGCCATTGGGGTCTCAAGTCGAACATTTCTCATACAAGACATGAGTAGTAAATAGAGTAGACGTGCCCAAGCCTCTAAATCACATATTTCACATAAAAAGAGTAGACTATCAAGCCATTCGTGGAAGTTCTTATGATTAATTACACGTAGAAAATTATGTCTAAGGGGTAGCCAGATACTGTATTCCCGCTACCCCTAATCTATAGACAAGTCTGCCGAGGTCCCACGTCCAGACCTGGGAAGACGACGAAACCGAAGGTTATTGAGTTTTAGATGAGTGGGTAGATAGACGTTAAAAAGGCGTAAATTGCTTTTCTTTTTTCTCTTTTTGTGATCTCCATTTTCCATCACCCCTTTTTATCTGCTCTTCATGACCCCCTTTGCCCATGTTCAGACCATAAAAAAAACGCCTAGATTTGCTCCTTGATTCGTAGGAGCGGTGCATAAATGACGTGGAAAACTAAGAAAAAAAGGAAATAGAAAGGGGGAAAACTATCTTCATGAGCCGTGAGGCGTAACAATCTCTGAGAACGAGCGTCTCTCTTTTTTGTGTGAAAGGAAAAAAATAACTATGAAAAAAAGGAAATTGCACTCAGCTATAGTCATGCGAATAAGGGGAAAGCTATCCACTTTTGTCGACAATGACCGTTATAGCTCGGCGCCCGTCAATCATCTCCGTCATTCGTATCCATCCGCCGTAGTATCCAGCCTTTTTTCGTAACCTCGTTTTAGTCGTGCGGTGATTATGTACCATGGCCTTGAAACGCAGTTTCAACGTAGGGTGCTGGAAACAATGTGGTCGTTAGGGTCCTTCGGGTTGCTGAGGCCGTCGATGATCGAGTTTTATTTTAAAAACCAAAGGAAATATGCGAAAGACGACGGTGTTGAGTAGAAGTCTATCAAGGGGGTATATCTTGGACTAGACGCCTTATGACAAAAACGCCGCCCAAGATGCCGTAAATGGACAAACTTTTCCGAACCGAGAGATGAACCGTGGCTATGTACAGCGACCACGGCGAAAAGAAAAAGGGGGTATCCAGTCTATAAGAGCACGTCTATGCTGTTGAATCAATCTTCGAGGACCGCGGAATCCTCGAACGCGTAGGAGTCGTCGCAGCCGGCTCCCGAATCAGAAGGAGGTATAATCCTCAGTAGAAACCACTGCCTCTGGAAAGACGAAGATCACTCCATGTCCTACAGCTGCATCTCTTCGCCTATCCCGGGCAGTCCGTTCATGCCAGCCATGTTAAACGACATCTGGCTGTTAGCGAGGTTGGCCCTGATGTTGGCCGCCTGAGCTTGGATCTCGCAAGCCGACGAGTGTTGCTTGTGCTGCTACTTTGTTAGCTTTTCCCTATTATCATTCGATGCAATTGGAACTAGAATTAGAATTAAACGTACGTATTTAAGACCGTTCAGGTTCTTATACCGCTTGTGGCAGTACTCGCACTTGTGGGGCTTTTCCTTCTCCATCCCGGTCTCGCCAGGATAAGGGGCGGATGTCTCAGGGTTGACAATGGAGAAAGAACCGTCTCCATTCTCGTGGAGTTGCTGGTTCTGGTGGCCGTGTTGTTTGTGATACCTGCATAATCAATTTAGCGACAAGTTAAGATAAGGGCCGGAAAATTCAAAATTGGGGGAAGGGAGGGGAGAAGAAGAGGGGAAAGAAAGACAAGAGATGGAAAAGATTTTCCCTAAAACAAAATATAAAATAAGAAAAACTTACTTTAGGCCATTCTGGTTCTTGTAAGCTTTCTCACAACCAATGACCGGGCACTTGAACGGCTTATCCTCCTCAGGAGGCATAACCAAAGATCCCGGGTTTGCGATCGCGCGTTGCAATGCAGCCAAGTGGTTTGGATCCGTGATATTTCCAAACTGGCTTGCATCTAAACCAAACTGGGCCATCTGCTGCTGCAATGCTCTCTGGTTTGCCGGTCCACCGCCTGGGCTGTAAAGGCTCTTAGCCGGATCGTTGATGAAGAACTCGGACAGGTTGGTTCCGTTAAAATTCCCCATATTCGTGAGGTCAAGGTTGCCCAGCTGAGAGAAGTCCATTTCCATTCCCTCCTTGCTTCCGTTTCCAGCCATCTGTTGTTGTATCGCCGCCTGCTGCGTCGTCAAGGTTGGGGTATTAACTGACGAGACGGTAGGGTTGTTCTGGAAACCAAAGTTCGAAGAGCCGGGCGTCGGTGGCTGCGATGTTCGGAGCGCCTGGTGCTGCAAGCCTGGGGTGGTCAATGACAGCTGGGGTCGCTGTTGTTGTCCGAACATCTGTCGAGTCTGCTGGATGGTTCGCTGGCTATCATCCATCTCCATGATGCCAACAGCGTCATCCATCTCCATATCGCCTACAGCGTCCATCTCGTCGTTCGACTGCATTCGGTTAAGCTGTTGCGATCGCTTCTGAGAATTCGCATCCATGGCCGAAGACTGTCGTCCCATCTGCAACCCACCGAAGCCCAGACTCGAGCCGCCATTATTTCCCATAGATCGGTTCTGCGGACCGAATCCCATTTGCGCGAGATGCTGGTAACCCTGCGAGTCCTGTCGTCCGGCCATGGACATGGACGGTCGGTTGTTAACCGAAAGTCGGTGGGGCATCTGCACACCGGATCCGTTGCGATTCAGCTGGGCATCTCTAGGACCCGTGTGCACTGTCTCGTAGTGGCGAAGAAGGTCGTGCATGGTATCCAAAGTCAAGTCGCAACATTTGAAGTTGCGCAAATACTCCGCCTCCATCTTCGGTATATAAGAGTTGGAGTGGAATGAAGGCGATTGATGGGCGCCGGTGAACGGCGAGGTGCCAGTCATGGCGAGGCTATTCGTTACAAGACATGGCGGTTAGCGACCCGTCATCGGAGGATTTCACATGCCGGGCACGTAAAAGAATGTTTCTAAAATAAACCCAGAAAAAGAATCTGCCGGGTAAAACGGGAACGGTTGCGTAACGAGTGTGCAGCAGCGGCAAGAGCAGCAGCAAACCTCGAATCGGTAACCGGAGGCGGAAGTAAAAAGGATGGGATGACAGCGAGGGACAAATACTTGGGACTTTGGAAACTTGAGACTCGGGATTGGAACCGATATTTGAGACCAAGGCCAAGGGACAAGGCAGAGACAAGACAAGACAGTACAGGACAAGACAAGAGGTGACAAGGGAAAATCAAGGAAAACACAATGATGCGACTTACTCATCTCTAATGAAACTCCCAACTGACACTCCTCCCCAGCTCATGCCGTTCATTAAACTACCGGCCAAGCTCTCTCGCCTGCCGCGATTAGCCTGTTCGCGATTCGGGTTGATCATGGAGATGGGCTTAGGCCCAGCGCTGACGAAGGAGTCCTGCCGACTGCGGCCGACGGCCGAGTCGAGCGCAGGACCGGTGGTCATTTCGAGA